AAGGAAAAAAGATGAAGCATAAGGCCACCCTCCTGGCAGCGGCGCTTGGGGCTCCTGTGTCTACCCCAGGGCTCGGTACAAAACCTGGGAGGGGGCCCCGCAGAAAGGAGACACTAAAACTGGACCAGTGCGCATACTACAGAGAGACGGGGCATTGAAAAAACGAGTGCCCACACCAAAGACTGGCCCCCCCACAAGACGAGACCCTCCTTGGGAGTTCCAGACGAAACAGGAGACCCAGGACCCAATTGGCCTCACAGGCGTGAACTCCAAATAAGACCGACCGGGCTCCCTCAACCTTGGCCCCCGGGGGCCCATGGTCACTGTGGATGCAGGGGGCCGACATGTAACCTTCATGGTGGACACCGGGGCTGAGCACTCAGTGGTGACCACCCAGATTGCCCCTCTCACAGGGCAAGAGACAACCATAGTTGGATCCACTGGAGACTAGGTAGCCAGGCCTTTCTGCCAGCCCTGCTGCTGTCAGCTTGGGGGACATCAGGTAACACACGAGTTTCTCTACCTCCCAGACTGTCCAGTTCCCTTGTTGGGATGGGACCTCCTGCACAAGTTGGGGGCCCAAATCACTTTCCACCCCGAAGGTACGGCTGACCCTTCATCGTCAGCCCTGAAGCCCATGATAATGGAAGTCACAGTTCCCAGAAAAATGAAATGGCAAATTTATTCTGGTCCCTGGGCCAAGCTTCAAGGCAAAAATCACACAGACTTTAACTGAGCATTAGGGGTCAGGTGAAAACTCCATACCGCATACAGACTCCAAAGTTCAGGGAAAGTAGAGCACATAAACCGGACCCTTAAAAACACCCTTGCGCATGCCTGTAGTCCCAGCTACTCGGGAGGCTGAGGCAAAAGGATTGTTTGAGCCCAGGAGTTTGAGGTTGCTGTGAGCTAGGCTGATGCCATGGCACTCACTCTAGCACGGGCAACATAGTGAGACTGTCTCAAAAAAAACACAAAAAAAACCAAAAAAAAACCCTTGCAACGTTATGCCAAGAGACAGGGTTACCTTGGGTAGACTTACTTAGTCTAGCATTGCTTAAAGTCAGGTGCACTCCAGGGCCGACAGGATATTCACCCTTTGAAATCTTATACGAAAGGCCCCCTCCCATAATCAAGCAGCTTAAGGGAGACATCACCCAGATAGGGAAAAAGACCCTACACACTCAGCTTAGTTCCCTATCCAAAACCCTGAGTCAGATTCATCACAATGTTCTAAAAAGATCCCTATAGCAAGGGGACACCCAGTCCACTCACACCAGCCTGGAGACTCAGTCTGGGTTAAAGACTAAAAAACACCACTAGAGCCCACCTGGACAGGCCCCCACACTGTAGTCTTAATCACACCCACTGCTGTTAAAATTGCAGGAATAGCACCCTGGATTCATCACACGAAAATAAAAAGCCACACCTGAGGGGAACCGGGACACCTGGACAGTGCAACATGACCCAGAGGACCCACTGAGAATCCACCTCCGGTGTTGCGGTGGCCCAGCAACCGAGCCAGAGGTCACCCAAGCCGAATGACCGAGCCAGCCCATTACATCACCATCGGCCTGTTTAGACTATTGACCTTACTACTGGACATTGGACTTTACTCAGTGGCCCTAGAGGACTGGGGACCAGGGAAAAAACTATTAGTCATTTTATATTGGGCTGTGGTGGGTTTCCTTTTCTGGTTACAATGTTGCTCCCCATTCTAATCCTTGTCTGTCTCCCACTTACAGTCATCAGTAGCCCTCTCCCTTGCCCTCCAGGATGTATCCAGGATGCCTAAAAATGTAATGATGTAAATAATTTTTACCCTTGTTACAGAGCCAAAGAGTTTCAGGCTTATACCAGTCTTAAAAAAAAAAAAAAATTGTTACATAGACCCACAGATCTGCACTCAGGGGGTAGAAGATGTTTGACAGGTAACAGATTCCCTAACAACCCTCCAAAACCAACTAGGCTCTTTGGCAGCAGTGACTCTCCAAAATAGGCGAGCCCTAGACCTCCTCATTACAAAAAAGGGAGGGACCTGTATATTCCTGGAAAAAAATGTTGCTACTATATAAACCAGTCTGGAATAATGACATCTAAAAATTAAAAAAAAGAGTCCAGAAAAAAATTAAAAAACTAAAACAAACTTGGGGGCTCAATCTGGGCCAGTGGACTTCATAGCTACTGCCCCCGGCAGGACCTTTAATAACTATTTTTCTCCTTGTCACTATAGGCCCATGCTTACTAAGCACAATTATAAAATTCATAGAAACAACTGTAACCCAAAAAACAAGAGCCCATATAATGGCCTTACGAGGCTATCCCCCATTTGAAGATGATGCCCTATAATAGACACATGAGGGCAAATGCCTCATGATATCCATCAAAGGGGGGGAATGAAGTGGAAAATTGGAAAATTCCACTACCCGGCTTTGTCCTTTGCATTCCTTACCTGAGGCCCCTCCTCCCCTGCGACCTTTCCCCTCATAAATCACCTGTAGCAATTAGTGTACCAGGCTGTAAAGTAACTTAGGACCCTGCCTCACTAAAGTTAACCCTGTTGCAACCGTGCCCCTCCCGCTTAAGCAAAGTGTATAAAAGACTGCAATGCTCTTTGTCTGGTGCTCAGAATTTGGAGGGAAAAATCCCCATCTGAGTCTGCCGCGTATAAACCAGTTTTTGCCAATATTTCTGTGTGTGTGTCTGTCTATTCCTGGTCATCTCTGCTGTAACACCCCAACTAGGCAGTTAACATCTGTCCTTATTTCAGGCTTCTGCTCGGGCAATTCCTTCACCTCCTCTCCTCTCACAGCCTCAGACATAGCATCCTTAAGTCCCAGTGGTCTTAATCCCATCAGTTTATCAATATTGTCCTTAAAATCTGATGTCGCTCATTATCCTTTCTCTCCGTCTTCTATGGTAATAGAATCTGTGCTGGTCACAAGAGTAAACCCTACATTTCCTTGCAGCTAGATGTGGTCATGTGTTCTGGTAAATAGGATATAAGTGGATGTATTGTATAGCACCTTCTAACAACCTTCCTTAAAAAGCATTTGGACTCAGAATAAAAAGGAATGAACTATTCATGCACATGACAATATATTAATAGATGGATCTCAAAGGCTTTATGCTGAGTGAAAGAAGCCAGTCTCAAAAGGTTACATACTGTATGATTTCATTTATATGATGTTCTGGGAAAGGCAAAACTATGCGGACAGGTAACAGAGCAGTGGTCACAGGGGTTGGGGGTGGAGAAGGGTTTGACTAAAAGGAGAAGCAAAAGGAATTTTGGGAGTAATGGAGAAGCTTATAGGACTGGAGCTCCCCTGACAGTACTTAGAGATCAAATGGCACATTTGAGCACTGAGCAGGAGAGGGAACATTCCTGTTAAGCTATTGATTAACTTCTGGGTAACAAATGTGCATTGTAACAAGGGCCTCTGGGTCAAGGTCAGTCCCAAAGGACGGAATTTAAGAGTGGAGAATTTGAGACATTGCAGCAGGCCAATAGGAAAGGTTATCATGGACAGGCAGTGCCTCTCAAGTTCATCTGAAACAATTCCATCTCTAGTTACATTGAGCCATCAATGAAATGAAAATCTTTTCTCATTTGTCCATCCCTTCACCTTTTTGGTTCAGAACACAGAAGACGGGAACGCAAACTCCTGTGCCAACCCTGGTTCCTAGGCAGTGACCCCTGTTTGGCAGGAATAGGACTTGCTTGCTTGCTAGGAACTTGCTGTGCCATTCTGGCCATCTGTACCGCTGGAAGAGCTGACAGAAAAGTGAAACAGAGACTGAAAAAAGCAAGAAAGGAGAATGGACTTTTTGCCTTGATTTTGAATTATTTGTTCCTAACCCCCTAAGGTTGATAAACCAACCTCTCAGCCCTCACAAGTCTCCCCTCTCTGACTGAAGACTACCCCAGAAAACCACTGTTTTAATACTCAGACTGTGTCTTAGGCTGTTGGTGCTGCTATAACAAAACACCTTAGACTGATTAATTTATAAAAAAATAGAAATTTATTGCTCACAGTTCTGGAAGTTGGGAAATTGAAGGTCAAGCTGCCATCAGATTCAAGGGCTGGTAAGGGCCTGTTCCTCACAGATGGTGCCTTCTGTGTTCTCACGTGGCAGAAGGCGCAAAAGGGGCTGACGAGCTCCCTCAGGCCTCTTAGGTCATAAGGGCTCACCTCCTAAAGGCCCCATTTCCTAATATCATGACATCAGGGGTGAGTTTTCAACATGAATTGGCAAGGGGTGGGAAGGGGGAGATGACACATACACTCGCACCACAGCAGACCGTTTCCCCATATATTTGGGGTCTTAAATGGTACTCGTTTCTGGAGCAGGAGAAAGCCCAAAGTCCTCCCTTCTCCATCACTCTGCTGAACTCCAGGGGCAGTGGGAGAAAGGCAAAGGGGCACGGGAAGACCTATAGACTGGTAGTACCTAGTTTTGAGCCACCAGTATATCCTGGGCACCTTGTTAGAAACAGATACGCCAGAAGTGCCTCCTGGAAATCCTCATTCGGCAGATCCAGGGTAGGACCCGGGCTTCTGTCTTTTTAACAAATTTCCAGTGGCTTCTGCTGGACAGCCCTAAATCAGCCTATGAGGCACAGCTACCAAAGACACTCGCGAGATGGTCAATGCTCCCAGTCCCAGCCCATGGGAGAAAGAGGAAAAAGTCGCCGGCTAGCTGGCGCACACGACCCCTCCGAGAGGCAGCCGGGCCCCGCCAGCTCCGCCCGCCCCGCCCACGCCCGCTCTCGGCGGCCAAGGCACAAGCGCCGTTCGTACCGCCCCGCGGGCTCGCTCAGTAGGGGCCTGCGCGGTGGCCGCGTCTGCGCAGGCTCAGGACGGTCTCAGGAGGCGGGGCCGGCGTGGGGGCGTGGGCTTGCTCTTTGTGAGCTCTGCGGTTCCCCGCGGGGCCCTGTGGTGCGCACCGCGTCTAGGGCGGGTGATAAAGCTGGCGGTGTCCCTCCGTGTGCCCGCCTGCGAGGGTCTGTGGAGACTGGAGCTGGGCAGGAGGGACTGAGGAGTAGGCGTAGACTTGGCAGAGCGGCTCTCACAGGAATCCCTGCTGTCTCCGGACAGCTGAGGAGCGCTGGGGACCTGGGTCGTAGATGTGGCGGCGGCCGCGTCGCCTGGTGGTGTGATCCCACTGCGGGTGTAGATCCGCGTGGAAAGTAGGTCCCAGAGCCTGGTCTTGAGGAGAAGGGCGGCGGAGCGGAGCCAGTAGGAGGCCGAGCTTCTGAGGGGACTGAGAGTGTGTCCCGGTGCGGGAGAAGAGCACGGCCCCGGGCAGCAGCGCTGCGCGCCCGCCGGGGCGTTTTTCCATGTTCGACAGCGCTGCTCTGAGCCCTGCAGGTCTTCTGGGTCTCGCCGTGCTGAGTGGAAATGCCCCGCGTCAGCCAGGCGGCCCTAGCCTGCTCCCCGCTCCCTGAACCCTCGGGAGGACCGCAGGGCTGTGGCCGAAAGACTGTGATTTGGACCTAGTGAAAGGACGCCGACCCTTTGCCCTAGCTATGGACCCTACAGCATCAGGTTTGGCTCTCAAGCGTGCCGAGGGCCTGCAGCCCTCCTGGGGAGTTATTTAATAGTACCGGGCCTAGTAGGAGGAGGAGCCTAGGAAGAGGCTGGGGAATCCCACTGAAGTCCCAGCTTCCAAGTCTGGAATGGGTCTCTGGATGACTGGCATTGTGGAGGGGATGGCCACGGATGACTTGTCCCAATGGCCAGAGGAGAGGGGGGAGCCGAACTGCACAAGGAGAGCAAGCAGCGCAGGGGAGGATCTGATGTTTTCCTGTTGTGGCAGGGAGAGGGCAAACAAACCCGAGAAGGAGTGGCCCTTGGCCAGGGATGAGAGGACAGTAAGGGCCATTTAGAGCCTTGTCTCTCATCTCCTTAATCACTTCACTAATAGAGTTTTTCCAGCTCTTCTAGCTCAGCTGTGTACAAGGTCAGCAGTGTACACATGGTGGGTGCCTCCTGTGAGCCTCTTCCCCCAATAGTGGGGCAGGGCGGGGGGAGGGGTAATGCAATCCAGGAGACTCAGGAGGTTTTAAGCTGTTATTTTCTAAATTTATAATGTCCTGTCCTTCACCAGGTGAGCATTTGAATTTGTTTATTTTTCAGCGCACATACTCAAGGACACAAAACTGACCAGTGGAAGAGCTGGGCCAAATCCCTGGGCCTACTACCCCCTCTTTTTTTCCTATATGTCCTTGCTACTCAGTGTGACCCATAGACCAACAGAGGCATCACCTGGAAGCTCTCTAGAAATGCAGACTCTTGGGCCCTAGCCCGCACTCTCTGAGCCAGGATCTTAACAAGTCTTGAACCAGAGTTTAACAAGATCCTTAGGGATCCGTACGCACGTGAAGTTTGAGAAGTGCTGACCTGTACTATACTATGCTGCTTGCCTACTTCAATGTTTCTATTGTTAGCCTTTCTACTTCACTGGCATGATTTGGCTTTGTTTGTTTTAAGCTTTATAAACAGTATGATGCAAGGCTCTTTAATAGAGGGGCTCTCAAAGTGTGCTGCAGAGACCCAACAGTGCTTGGGAACACCAAGGGCAGCTTCTCAGGAAGAGCTAGCATCTGAGCTGGATTCCCAAGAATGAGGGGAGATGTCTGATTTCTTCCCCTTTAAGCCTCATATCCTTCCATGGCCTTGACTTGGGCCTTGCTTAGTTGTTAACCTGCAGGCTAGATTTAAAATTCCTTGAAGGTCTCCATGTTTATATTCCTAAAATGCCTGAGAGAGGACCTGCATTTAGTAAGCCCAGTAAATTACTCTCCAGTGGTATGGCCAGACTGTGGTCACACTTCACATACCTGTAGCCTGCTGTGGGCTTGTGGACAGGTGGGAGCCTCACACTGTTGTGTGCAGGAGCACTTTTATATGGGCAGGCTAGAAGCTGCCTCCCGGCTCCCTTTGACCCACCTGTGTCTCCAGAACCACGGAGGTGACACGCAGAGCTGTATAGGGGTCTCCAGCTTGTGGAGTCTGGGAGCTGCTCATGCCATAAGGGTTAGCCTCCCTTATGGATCCTTTTACCTTCCCAGCTCTCCCTTCTCAGGACCCTGTTCTTCCTCCAGAGAGATTCCCAGGAGAAAAGGGAACAACCAGTTTATTCCTGAAAGCCAGGCCCCAGGTGAGTTGGGGTTTTCTTAATTTTTCCTCAAATGTCTGAACTATGAATAGCTTTGCCTCCTTTTCTCTAGAACTTGTTCTAGAGAACAAAGACCGCTGTCCCTGCTATGCAGGAGCTGAGCCTGTCAAGATGGAGGATGGCCACTCTGCCCTTGCATAGGGCCTTCTCTTCTCTTCTTGGTATGCACTCACTCACTGGGATCCTTTGGCCTCACTTTGGCTTATTTCTGTAATGGGCACTGTGGTGACTGCTAGGTAATATGCCAGAGCCCTGGCCTTGAAGGAGTGTCACGGCCACAGTGGGGAGAGGACTCTGACATCCAGGATGCAGCAGGCTAGGATCTGTATAGTTTGATGGCAAATGGGCACAGACAGGCCTTTCCATTGATGCTCAGGAACAGGAAAATGGGCCTGCTTTGGAAAGACTGGAACACTCATGGAGAAGGGGGAACAAAAAGGTTCTGAGGATATGGACAGGTGGGGAGGCCATTTGTGACTGGGTCCCTGTTCAGATGTTATCTTCCTGGATTAGTGAGGAGACAGACTTAACTTCACTATATGCAGGCTGTGTGACCTTGGATGAGTCATGTAACCTTGCTATGCATTGGTTTGCTATCTGTAAAATGAGGATGATAATAATGTTAATTATGATGAAAGTAATAATGGTTATTATTTACTGAAAACCAAATATGTATCAGGAAATATTCTACACAATTTACATATAGTAACTCATTTTATCTTTAAAACATTCCCATAAAATGGTTACCATTTTGAAGAATAGCAACCAAAGCACAGGAAAGTAAACTGAGGAAATCAAAGAACAGAGAGATAAAGTAACTTGTTCATCATGGCTATCTAGGCGGTAAGAAAGGGAGCCCAGTTTCAAACACGGGCTGTCTGGCTCCAAGATCTTAACCACTCAGTGATACAACCTCAATCTCATATGGTTGGAGTCTTCTTGCAAATGGTAATTGCTTAATCCTTGTCAGCTTCAGGGATCATGGTGACTGATTCCAGTGGTGGATTTAGGTTTGGCTGTAGTGAGCTGGATGTGGAGGAAGAACCAGGTGGAGGGCTATGATGCCAGCCTGTGAGTTTCCCAGTATCAAAGATGGTATTTTAGTGGGATTCTGGCTTGATGATAGACATCGACATTTCATTTTCAAGCCAAAAAGGGAAACCCCTGTCAATAAGGAGTTCTTCCAAGTAATTATTAATAGTAGAGTCATAAGTAGAGTTTAAACCTCTTTGGCCTTGATGTACGTCATCTGGAGGTATAGCTGAGAGCTTAGGCTAGTTCTGTGTGGTACAGCTCCCAGATCTCAAAGGTTCCCAGTCACATATGTCTTCTTTCTGCTGTGTTTACCAACAGCAGGCTGACTGTAACTCTACTGCACACCCTCTTCACTCTGGGATTCAGGCTGAAGGATCAGCCCTGCTCTGGGATATGCTGTTCTCATGGCAGAGGGAAAGAACAATGGCAGCACTTTGGCTCTTTAAGCTCCTGCTCAGAAGTGGCATGTGTTGCTTCTGCTCACAACCCACTGGCTGAAGCAGGTCACATGGCCAAGCTTAATGTCAATAAAGTGGGAAATATAAGCCTCCTAGAGTGAGGGGCCCAAAGAGATTATTTTAAACAAAAAATTAGTTTACCTCTGTGTGTTTTCTTACTCATAGATGTTCACTTCCCTCTCTCCTGCATACAAAATGCCTTCCCGATAGAGATAACCCCAAAATCCCCATTCAGAGCATCATGAGCAAAGTCTTGGATGGCATGATAATATCTGCATTGGGCCTGGATGTAGATCCTCTGGATCTGGAGACCTATGAACTAAAAGGACAGTTACCTGAATCCATATATCCAACATACAGTGAACAGTGGGACAGGATGACCACAATAAAAACTCCTATTCAGAAAGGGAAAGCATGGGAGGAGCCCAGCACTCCCAGGTCAATACAGTTATGAAATTCCACTGGGCAGATACTGTGAGGACCCTTGATCTTGGGAGTCGGAAAATCCTGGGCTATGCCTTGGTTCTGCTCCCTGGGTGGAGCTCCCCAGACTAGTGTTCTGGGCTGTTGGCTCTGCCCTCGGGAAGTTCCTTCCTTTCACTGTCTCCTCCTTGGTCACATATGAAGATGATAATGAAGAATAAGCTCTCTCAGGGGCTAAGCAGCTTTTTCATCCTGCCTGAATAGGTTGATGGCCTAGGATTGTTTTATGTGTAACTCTCAAAAACTTAATCAGTTTTTTATGTATTTGCTTCCAGCTGGCTCCATGTGTCAATAGCTGTACCCCACAGTTCTTTTTGAAATGTACCTCTCTCTTTAGACTTAATTGTGGAGCTTTTTGGCCATCCTTGGGACGGCCATGCTTTTTTTCCATTCCAGTTTGATCCCACTGAAAGGATTTACTGGGAGTTATTTGACAGCCACATTCATGATTTAGTTCTTGATGATAGTCTGGGTTTAAATCATCTTTTGTCATACAAAAGCCTTATGTATATTGTCTTTTCCAGTTGGAAGTGAGAATTGGTTAAGTCTCCAACCCTGGAAGTCCTGGCATTTCTGGATGCTTCCTATTGCCTTTTGTTTTGCAAACCAGCAACTCTTGAGCATATTTTTCTTCTTGTAATACTTTGTAAAATGCAGCCAATAACAACCAACTCACACCTATTAATGTTATGTTTCCAGCCTCTTCTCGTTGCATCAGAAGCTCAGGCTTACATTGTTCATATTTCAAGTTATTGAAGGCAATAGGTTTACCATAGTTCACCACCAAATTACATAGGTTGTCACCTTGCCAATAAGTTTCCTTATTGCCTGGACTTGAAGCTAATGTCCTTTCAAAAATGAAAGTTATTTTTGGTTTTTTGTTTATGGTAGAATCCCACTTTGAGTACCAGTTTTTTAATGAGTCAGTTTAGACTAGTTATACCATGATAACAACAGCAAACCCTCAGAGATGTAAACCAAAAAAAGTTTATTACTACATGCCTGCTGTGGCTTTGCTCACAACTTCACTCAGATCATTTGCCATTCTCAAGGCAGAGGGAAAAGAGCAACTGCAGGAACCCCACTAGCTCTGAAAGCTTTTGCTCACCTGTAGCTCATGTCTCTGCTTTCACATTTCATTTGAGAAAGCTGATTACATTGCTGTACCTGGGTCAGGGGCAGGCAGCTCAATCATGTCGGGAGTGCCAGTGTATATTTTCGACAAATAATCTATCACGAGAGGTTATTGTAGTAGTGAGTTTTCCACATTTGATTATTTTGGCTGACTTTTATGCTAATATAAAATTATTTCAGCTTATTCTGTGGAATCAGTATCTAAATGAGATTTCATTTTTAAATAATCTGGGATAATAATAGGAGTTTATAGTACTGCCACTTGTTCTGCTTTTCAGTTCATATATGGATTATCATACAATATAAGTCAAATGGGAAGTATTCTAATTAATGAGATTGAAGGTGACAGGGTAGTTCTGACTAGGACCTATAGAATGGTTATACCTTGTAGTGGTGACCTGGGATCCTGGGTCTCACGCTCAGCTTGGTAGACTCAGAAACTGAATAATGGTTAGGTTTTGGGGGAAAGGATTCAGGCTGATCAAACTTATAAAACTTTTTTTTTCTGAGACAAGGTCTCTGTTGCCTGTGCAGTGGCATCATCATAGCTCACTGCAACCTCCAACTCTTGGGTTCATGCCAGGAGATACCCCAGCTGACAGGGTTGAAAACAGGGCATCGCGCAGGAATAAGAAACGAGACAATAGAAGAGAACGAGTGGGGTCAGGGGACTCAAGGCTTTCCGGACCATGAGTTCCGAGAGTAATTTCTCACTTGTATTTCTAAGAACAAAAGATCATCCTAAATCATACAAGCAAACAATGCTCTATAGCTATCCCACAGGCAAACAAATTCTAAACATTTCCAAAAAGATTACAATAACAGGTACACGTCATTCAGGTAAGCTTTAAAGATCACTGATAAAGATTAAGATATCCAAGTGCACGTTAACCTCAGCAAAGCTATTTCTAGCCTAAAACAAAATAAGGACATAAATCTTGGGATGTGGCCAGGCCAGTTTTACAGCAGGCTGGACATTCCTGATAGCAGTCCTGGAGCAGTTTTGCACCCCAGGAGAGAAACTGTTCTCAGTTCCTCCTGCCTTTGGAATGTCCTTACCATTTGGAAAACAGCCACACCTATGCAGGCTGTCATATCTGCAGAGGTTTCTGTGCCAGCACTCTCCCTAGGTCACCCCAACATTTCTAAGCTCCCCAACAGGTTCAAATGATCTTCCTGCTTCAGCCTTCCTAGTAGCTGGGACGACAGGTACACCACTGCACCCAGCTAATTTTTTAAAAATTTTTTGCAGAGACAGGGTCTTGCTGTTGCCTAGGCTGGTTTTGAACTCCTGGCCTCAAGCAATCCTCCCACCTCAGCCTCCCAAAGTGCTAGGATTACAGGCATAAGCCACCACGCGTGGCCCATACAAAACTTATTGATTCAATATAAATGTGTGCTGGCAGGCAGGAGTGGGATCAATTATTATAAGCCCCAAATTATTTGTTTTGGCCTTAGTAAAAATTGTCCTTAAAATTATAGGTCATAAATTTTGAAAATATCTTATTAGAAGACTAGTGATACTTATGCATTTGAGAATGCAAAGCATATTAGTCTGTTAATTCTAATTGATTCCAATTAAATGCAACTCAATTGAGAATAAAACCTCTTGACAAATGAGGAAACATATTACATTCACCTCCCCTACCTAAGCAGAATGTCTCTGTAGGCCTGATTCTCCTGAGACCCTGATGATGTTTCCTGGTGGCTTGATGTGGATAGGCATGTAAGTGGGCACTGGGTGGGATACCAAATAGTAAGGATGATACAATCCCAGGAGCAGTTGAAAATATGTTTGTGATGATGAAACCTACAACTCTCTGGGCACTGGGATAGCTAGGAACTCTTGAAATCACTTCTTGCACATCCTGAGGTTCTTCTCAGATGCCTGTCCACTCTTCTGCCCAGGGCCATGAGTGTGCTCCTCAAGGGTACAGGAGTGTCTTCTGTGTTTCAGGACCTGATGACATTTGAGGATGTGACTGTGGAATTTACCCCGTGGGAGTGGGGGCAGCTGGACCCTGCTCAGAAGGACCTGTACAGGGAGGTGATGCTGGAGAACTTCAGGAACCTGGCCTCCCTAGGTGAGTGCTGTGTCTCCAAAGCCCAGAACCTGCCCGGCAGGCTTTCTTGATTTCCTTGGTATTTAAATGCTAGGGTGTCTAGGCCTGTTGCTGAATTTTGCCCTGGGGTTCTGGAATCTGACATTTACATTCTCTGTGGGGCCTGGAGATACATTATTTCTGCTCCTAGTTCTAGGAAAAGTCCTATTTCTTGCAGAGTTAAAATAGCAAGTTTCCTGACTCTGCTCCTGACATTTCACAATGCCTATTCTCTGGAGGCTTTCAATGCCTACAATATTTTTTCACCTTGAAGATCAAGGTCCAAGGACTTGGCTGCCAGTAAACACAGCCACAGTCCTTTTCTTTCTTTACCGTTAGGGCTTCCAGTGTCCAAACCACATGTGATCTGCCAGTTGGAGGAAGGGGAAGAGCCCTGCGTATTGGAGAGAGAAATCTCAGTAGGTGCCCAGTCAGGTGAGTGAATGAATGAGAGCTAAATAGCATTGTACATTATGAGGCCCCTCTAGGGTGGAAAGTTTTCCTGAACCCTTGGTCAGGGAGCTGTCTTTTCAGTAGGTGAGGCCAGTTGGCATGAGTCCTCAACTCCAGTATTTTAAATTTTGTAATTATTTCTGGTATCGGAAGATGAAATGTTCATTTTCTTTTCTAGTGTTTACCCTTCCTTTGGTATCCATTTCTGCCCGTGCCTTCTGGGTTTTTGGTGCCATGTGGCATCACTAGATGTCTTATAGTCCATGTTAGATGGATCAAAAGTAGTATATGGCCAGGTAATCACCATATCAGGAGGGTTAAGGAAGTTAGCAAGGAATCAAGCAGAATAGTTGAGCAGCCCAGAAACAAAAGGGTTATGGGCAAGGATAGACAGAGGATGTCAGGAAGATCAAGATGAGGACACTTCAAGCTTGATTAGACTGAACCTCAAAAGAAGTGGTTCCAGGAACAAGGACTACTCCTTTCCAGCTGTTGATGGCATCTCAAGTCATCTAAAGGTGACTTGAGAGTACCTGGAAGGCTCCATTCCTTGGAGCAGAATTCTGGACTCAAAGCTTTCCTGACTGATGTGTGTAGCCCAAGAATACCAGAGGCAGGTGACAACCTGTGCCAGTTCATCTCTGAGGCAGAATCATAGCCTCAGGCCAGAGCTGAAGCTTAGAAAAGTGGTGCTTAAATCCTGAGACAATAGGCTGGGCCTCATCATAGGAGCCTAGAGTATAAGACAGAGAGGGAAGATGCAGAACTTCCCTCTGTTGGTACTTGGTCTTATTTCCTTCCTGAATGAGATCAAGGGTCTGACATCTGGATCTAGTCTCATGATCAATATCTGTTTATTTACAGTGGTGCACAGCATGGCTGTGTTTCAGAATGTCCCTAGGAGCTTTTTAAACATTCAGGCTCCCCAGAGACACGTAAGACCTATTGATTCAGAATCTCTCCGAAGTCTGGCCTCTGAGACTACTGGTTAGGTATGGCTAGCCATTTCCCCCTTCAGAAGTGTCTTTATTATTATTATATTAGTTTTCTATTATTGCTGAAACAAATTACCATAAACTTTGCAACCTTAAGCAACACAAACTTACTATCTCACAGTTCATAGATCATGGGTCTTACATGGTTAGAGCCAAGTTATCCACAGGGCTGCATTCCTTTCTGGAGTGTCTAGGGGAGAACCTGTTTCCTGTTCATCTGGATCATTGGCAGTACCAATTCCTTGCATTTGTAAAACTGAAGTTTTCATTTTCTTGCTGGCTGTAAACCAAGGGGTGTTCCCAGCTTCTAGAGACTGCCACATTCCTTGGTTCTGATGTCCTTCCTCCACCTTCAAAGCCAGTATTGTTGGGTGGAGTCCTCCTCGCACTGCATCTCTGCCCAGCCAGGAAACGTTCTCTAGGTTTAAGGACTCATGTGATTAGATTGGGCCTACTTAAATAATCCCAGATGATCTTCCCATCTCAAGGTCTGTGCCCTTAATGACATCTGCAAAGTCCCTTTTGCCATGTAAGGTAATCTATTCACAGGTTCTTGGGATTTAGGGCATGGACATCTTTGGGGGAGAATTATTCTGCCTCTCACAATTATATAATACAGTAATATGACATATATACATATGTATGTGTACATAATACATAATAATATATGGTATATAGACTGAGATATTGAGGGAAGACTTTGTGGAGGACGTGAGCTTGTTCCTGAAAGGTATGCAAAGCATTAAAGAAAGAGGGTGGTGGCCGGGCACGGTGGCTCACGCCTGTAATCCTAGCACTCTGGGAGGCCGAGGCAGGAGGATCCCTTGAGCTCAGGAGTTCGAGACCAGCCTGAGCAAGAGTGAGACCCCGTCTCTACTATAAATGAAAGAAATGAGCAAAACAACTAAAAATAGAAAAAATTAGCCAGGCACGGTGGCACGTGCCTGTAGCCCCAGCTACTTGGGAGGCTGAGTCAGAAGGATTACTTGAGCCCAGGAGTTTGAGGTTGCCATGAGCTAGGCTGATGCCACGGCACTCTAGCCTGGGCAACAGAGTGAGACTCTGTCTCAAAAAAAAAAAAAAGAAAGGGTGGTGAGAGTGGATGTGAATATATGGGAAACAGGGAGGCAGCCAGCTTCTGTGCTGAAGGCACCCGTTGAAGAAAAGGGCAGGATCCTGATTAAGTATTGTAGGGCTGGAGTGAGAAATTCAGGGTTTATCCTGTAGGCACAGGA